AAAATAAACAAAAACGAATTTTAAAAGTTGTCTTCTTATTTTAATGATCGCTGTTTTCTTATGCAGTCTGAAGTCTGAACCACTGAAAACCGGGAAAACTCATTTTTGTTATGTGCTTTAATTACTTTGGCAACTTGGCTCATAAAGAAGTCAAACAAATAAGCTGAAGTCAAAAGCACAAATCAAGTGCAAAGAAAAACTACGTACTCCCCAATTGAAAAGCAGCTGCTTCTGAATATATTCCAAAATTTATTGGTTAAAATTTTCCCAAGTTGTCACTAGTAGTGACTTGGAATTTGATTCCATGTCACCTCACCTCCCTCAGATTGGATGCCTAAATAAATGCAATTTTATGTCGAGTGTACGAGATCTTAAATATCAATCGTAGTTACTGTATATAATTTAATAACAAACAACCAAATATGAAAATTTTTGTAACACTTAAAACTTTATTACTAATAAATTTTTATTTTACTTTTATAGAAAAGTGAAAATTAAGATGCACCTGGCTCTTGCGGCCTATTGGTAATAGTCATCCCGATGCATTCCCCCCTTTCCTGGTTGGGTTCGAAACCCGCCCCTTGCAAATATGTTCAAAAAAAAAAAAAGTGAAAATTAAGATTTTTTAATATCAAAACATCCATTATAACTATCTATTAAATAGATCATTGATTAATGTGTGCTTAATAAATGATTATAATAAAAACGTGTTGAGGTTAAGAGATTCTGATTTTTCACATTCTATTATTTTTGTCTGCTTTGTTTGAACTTTCTGTGAACATCACTAATTTTCTTTTTGAACATATATAGAGAATTTGATTAATCATTGCCCCTGCTTTCTGGCTGCTTCTATGAACTTGCACAAAAATTTCAGTTCGTTGACTAGTCAAAGAGCCCTTTGTTATATTCCCACTTACGAATTCCTTTTTTATTTTTTTAACGTGAACAATTGTTACACAGAGAAGGGAAAGGAGAAATGAGAAAGGGATGAGCGAAATTTAAACACAATTTGATAAATTTTACTTAAAATTAGTGATTAAATCATTACACCTATAACGTTGATTTCTTCCTACTTCCAAAATCAACTTATGAAATCATGTTACAATTGAATTTGTCATCCAAAATTGTAAATAACAATTTTTTTTTTCAATAAAAAACCTTGAAATTTATTAAATGAGAAAATAAAGATTACAATTACCCAATAATTCTTATATATATAATATCATTCTTACCATATATTATCTCCCTTTATGGAGTATTTAAACATTAAAATAATGGAAAGAATTAAAGAAAAAAAAAAGAAATGGAAAATTAATAGACAATTTACATATTATGGACACAAAATCCGCAGCATTAAGGGAAAGATTAATAAAAAATATATATCTACTAAAAATATGGGAAATTTCCTATGAAACAGGAATTAAGCAGTCAAACAGGCGGCCGGACTGAGTCAGCGCCGGCAGGCGGAGCAGATGTCCCTTCGCCAGAATTCGCTGCCACCTTCGGTGACGTAATGGAAGAGGCTCTACTGAAGAAGGGTGGCGTCATGCTAAACATCCACCGGTCTGACAGTTTCTCGAACCGTCTAATATACTTTCCTCTGCTGCTCCCTTCGCCGCTGGTACGGTAACCCCTCCGCGAGCTTCCTTCCCTCGGTAATATCATCATGCTTGTGGCCCGGTTCAGCTGCCGGTTCATCACCTGCTTCCTGATCTCAACCGGCAGCCGCAAAGTGAATCGCTCGGTGTTCTCACCCGGTTGGACTAAGGAGTGGCCGGTCGAGTGAGAACGAAGGAATTTGCGTCTGTGGTTGGATCTCGAGCCACGTGTCCGGTTCCTACTCAGAGTTTTGTTGACATCAATTACTTCCGCCGCTGGCGGCGGCGCCGCCTCCACCACCGTATTTTCATTTAATGTCTGCT